GTATATCTGCAGGCATCACAGGGCCTCTTACTTGTGAGGGAGATTGAGGAGGAGAGGGCCAGGAGCAGTAAAGCAGCGGACGCCATGACTGTCAAGAAATCCACTTACTGCAGCCACGTGATTTAGGCGGATGGCCAGAGGGACACAAACAAGACGTCAATGGACAGGACATGAACTGGAGAGGGCTGAATAAGAGACAACAACAAAAGAGGATGTCAGAAACAGAACCACTGTTATTTTTTTATGACAATAAAGGACCTCCCCTCATTGTGGATTATTAAAACACGTGTGCGACCCTCAAGATATAATACCTGACTGATGACTGTGCATGATTTTTCTACACCAGAAACCGGGTGCAGAACTAGCTGGAATCCTCCCTGAGCATATAAATGATTCCGGATGTGAATGACTCAGCAGAACACTGCAAAAAGCCATGCGGGGTGCGTGCATATGCAGACACACACCAGCCTGTACTGTGTGTGTGTGTGTGTGTGTGTGTGTGTGTGTGCACGCTGACACACATGGGCCGTCTAGGAACTAACACAGGGTAGCACTACAGCACCTAGACAGCTCCTGCTACGCCGTCACACATTCTTACACATCAGTTCCGCAGGATGAAACAGCAGCACTGCTGTGAGTATACTGCAGTGTTTCGACTCTCACTGTCAGAGATATTAATAGAGAGAAAAGGTTGGAGGAGGATCATGGAGATATAAAGCAGGATTGATGAAGATGACCAGGGTGGGGGAGGGTTGATCCTTGTACTGTGTACACCCGTAAAGCTCCCATTGGAGAATGTAACATTTTTAAATCATGTTACACTGCAACATCAAACAAATCTTCATCACTTGTGCAATATGCACAAACTTAACATTTGAGGGAAAAAGAAGGTTTGGTCATCAAATACAGTAAGCATCCTAATGCAACCATTTCAATTAGGGATGCACATATCGAACAGGCAGAGTGACTTCATGAAATGGATTGGGTGTCGGACCATGATGGGACTGATCCTTGTTAAATATACTTTCTTTGTCAAAGTCATTACAAAATATGTTTACAAATGCTGTTTTTGACACAGCAGCAATCCACAGCCTCATGTCACCTTACATCAAAATAACTCCAATGAACTCCACACAGTCAGATCAACAGATTTTAAATACAGTGACTGCACTGGTGTATGATCGCTACTTAGATACCCTGAGGCCAGTATTTAAATAATCTGTGTTATTAATTAGGACAGAAAAAGTTGTTTTGGCTAAACCTCTAAAGTAAATTGCATCATCTCAGGTAGTTTATAATGTAAATGGAGGCTAGTCGAGTCTGTGAATTTAGGTCAAACATATGCAATGCACTGTCAGCAGTCCAAGGGAAGAAAAAATCAAAATCGTTAGGTGTATTTTAAACTAACAATCGTACTAAAGTCCATTTTTGTATGATTGTAGATCAAAATCATTCAGATGTGGAAGTTAAACACTTGTTAATCGCCGTCCACTTGTCCAACATGACATTTGAGATGTTGTAGCAAAAGCGTCCAAGATGCATAAATCTGCACAGAGCCATCTGATCAATTTATGGTTATCAGATCAAAAGCTGCTTCTATATCTTGACACAAATACATAAACTAGCTGGAGGAATAGGTTTACTCCAAAATGCATCACAGACCTTGGAACTAAACCTTTGCGCTAAACAGTGAGCTTAGAGCTCAGACTACATCTCATAATAATCTTCCTATAAGGTCACAGGCCAAGAGGATGTGATCAGGGACAGTGCATCATGAGGAAATCAGGAAAACAGCAATCTTCTCTTAAAAATGTTTGGATGTGTACTTCTCAAATTCTGGAAAATAAATGTCATATTGTGATATGATCTTGAGGAAAGTACACATGTTTTCTGGTAACTTGTTGGGGGTAAATATTGTGACTATAGCCAAGATCTGACAACAAATGCCAGCACAGATCACTGCTGAGTCATTCTGGGTGTGAGAAGGAGAATAGGAAGGCACAGTGCAGAGAGGAAAAAGGGCCAGGCAGCCACCGGAAAAGGAGAGAGGAGAGTCACACACCCAGTTTACAGCCCCTCCACATGCAGAGACTGCAGCACTGACTCCTCATGGGCTCTCTTGATGACTCAACACTAATATCACAATGGTATACCAGCAGCTGGCAGCATGTACGCTGCATTTGCACAGCTTTGTGTCTTCAAACGGTTTATCTTTCAGATGGAGTAAGAGCAGCAAGATCCCAGAGAAGGATCGGAATGCATCACAGGTCCAAACATATTCAAAAAAAATCATCTAACTTTAGCGCACAAGCTGCAAAGACACGTTCACATACGGCTTTGTACTTTGTATTATTGCAGCATTCTGTTCCACCACTAATTCTGATCAATCCAACAGAGTGTGTTTTCATCAGTTTCCCCCTGGCGATAATCCCATCACAGATCCTCTCTGGACAGACCAAAGCGAAATTTAGGTCAGCACATGTATTAAGTCTTAGTCACTGCCTGAATGGCCATGTTTGCGCTGTGTTTTAGGGCTAAACAAAATCACATTCAAAGTCATGTTTGAATTCAACAAGAGGTGGTTTTAACCTAGGGAATCCTGGGTTGATTAAAGTGGAATTCTGTTGATGTGTTTGAGAGCTGGCTCTGGATTACGATTTTGCTTCACAAGACCTTGAATATGTCAAAATAAACATGGCCTCATGTTGAGGATGTGAGGGGAAATTCCCCCTTATATCTAAATTTCACTTTGACTCACATTTTGAATTCTTCTGTTTAAGTCCAGGACATGGGAGAAAGTGTATGTGTACATCATAATTTGTAATATTTAACTAACCAAAAATATTTGACTTGATAATAAATGCAGTGATATAGAGTCAGTAGATTGTATGGCAGTGCAGTACAGGAAACAATATTTGTTGTAAGGGAGTTGACCTTCAGGACGGTCTGCCATTTAACAAACTCTGCCTTGGTGCATCCAGCAGCCTACTGCGCCCTTGACGCATGCAGCATCTGACACTTTCACCTTGCGTCTCCTCCCTGCATCCACAGAGACGCACTTGTATTATCGCAACTGCAGAGTGAGAAGCTAAAACAACCTTTTTATTAAACAGCGCTCACTTCGTTGCAGTCGTTCCAAAAAAAAAACACCAGCCTCGAAAAGTAACTGCGCAGCACCTTACATCACTTCACCCCAATGACGACTGAGCGGAACCGGTAATTCGCTGCTCTGCATTGCGGTACTACTTTTGCCGGTCCATTTCAGCACTACGGCGCGAGCACATCCCAGTTTATCCTCAACTCAGTCTAGACAAAAGAGCTAGTTAGATCATGCACATACACGCATGCACTCGCATGTGATGTTCTTACCTTTGAGACAGATTTCAGTACCCTGTCCGCGTGGCACACCCGGACCCGAACCGCATCGCCCCACAGCCCATTCGTCCCGTTCATCTGAACTTTTCTATTGGAGGAAAGCGGCTGAGTGACACCTCTGGGTGGCAGCGAGGATGCGGCAGCGATTGGTCCACGAGAGAGGGAGGATGAGAGGGATGTGGGCATCACTGCGCATACCAGACAAGTCGTTATTAAAATAATTTAAAGTGGCCGTGTTTAATAAACGGTGCACTGCATAGAATATTATTGGATTACTTTAATACCAATTATTTGAAAAGGAAAATATAGCTTCAATTGTCCACCAAGCCTATATCGTATTCGCCATGTGCTGTGCATCATAAATGACTCTCAGATCAATCTATTATTAATGACAGCTTCCAGACACTAGTTCCTCTTCAATATTTAGATCAAGAGTGTTGAAGTTACAGGAGGATTACTCCACATTTGCACTGGGCTAATATTAAGCATATATTACACATTAATTATTTATATTTGACCTTTTAAATTTAGTCTTAGTTTGACTCTTATTCCAATTACTATTCACTGCACATGAATGTAACAAATAAATGAATGTTGGCACTGCATTTTAGCAGTTAAACTATCTTTTCATTGATTTTCCTTTTGGAAACAAACCATATGGAAAACTACAAAACACCTCTTCCGATATGAGAATAAAAAAAAGATGCCACAGCACATGTGCACATACACCAGATGTATGTTAATCCCCCAAGGATTATTTTTTGGTTCTTTATCTTTGTGGGGGGATTTGACAAATAAAATAAATTAATTTTCATACACTAGGTGGAGCTAAACACACACACACTTGTGCATGTTGCCCTGCATGCAGTACAACAAAGGAAAAAAACAGAACAGATTTGAAATCCTGAAACCAACATTTATTTCATTTTTTTAAACTTCATTTAAAATACAAAATATTTTTGCAATATTATATTGTAGAGTAAACCATTTCGACAGCCTTTCATGCTTCTCATTTAGATTCAACATTAACCAGAATGTCATATTATATCATATCATATTCTGTATATCCTACTGTATGTTCACCAGTCACTAGAACATTGTTTCAAGGGTATTCACACTCTAATATGCCAGTCTGCTTATCCGTCCATGCCGGCCCGCCTTCTGTATGCTCCAAATTACACTTTGTTTAGTTGTTTTTTGTAGGTGCCCACTCTTAAAAAGGATGCGCCAGTTTCATCGGATGTCTATTTTGGGACAACAGTTTTCCAGCGTTCTGCGTTCGGACGCCAGATGTAGCCGTAAAATAGTTGCACGGATGTGCTTGAAATGACATCCTGTTTAAGTGTGTGCCTTTTTATAAAAAATACAGAAAAGGTGCATGAACTGTGAGAGACAGAAACAATACAGGTGTCACAAGAGCTCAGTCACAAGTTAAATAATCTCCTTTGATACCTGATAGGCTAAACATTTGAGCTAGCAAATTCACCTGACAAGATCAAAAAGTAAAATGAAGTAAAATAAAGTTCACAGCAAATGAAAAAGTGAAAACTGTAAAGAGCTTCATCCCACGCAACACCCCTCCTACCCAAAATGCAGTTGGGCCAATTTGAGGTCAAACCCTCAACTCTGACCTCAAAAACATCTGCTCTCAAGTCAAGCCATTATTTACTGAATACAACAAAATATCTACATGTGGAAAGCTGACACATCGCAACGTAAAAACTTGATGCAAGTTATGATAAACCTAAGACGTGGAAATGTTCTCTGAAAAAAAAAAAGCTCTCGTATCTCCCGTTGAGAGAAGACACACACATCCGAATTAAAGACCGTTATCCATGGAAAAGTGATATTATACATCACGCACGCTGTAACACAGTACCATGCATGTGCCGCACACACACACACACACACACACAGACACACACTGTACGCGCACTTGTGCACCCAGACATTCACACACAAGCTTCATTCATTTACAGGAATAGAAAACTCACCGAGTGCTGCGCTCAGAACGAGACAACATACACAGATATAAGGTTAAATGCATAAACCAAAGTCACCAGTGTGTTTACCATTTGCAGTGAAACAAGCAATATTTTCATCCACATAAACAGATACTTGTTTCCACAATTCCGTATCATTACGCAATCCTCCGACCCCTTTCATTTCTAAGTGCTACCAGTGACAGTAAGTCTCGTTCCAACAGTAGTCTGTGCCAGAGGGCGAGTCTGGCTCCCGTTGGCAGTTACCTGGTGAGTAGGTTGGCAGTAGTTTAGTGCTGCTGGAGCAGGGGCTCCACCTCAAGATGAATGTTAGGAGGAGAATGTTTGACATGAATATGCTCTGACCTCAGGTTTCCTACACATTTTTAATATCCCACACATTTGCTTTAACTCCTATAGCGGGATGGTATGATCTGCCGGTGTGTTTGTATACGGGCTGATGATAACTGAGTGTATGATTGTCAACAAGGCCATAACAATCCATAGCTGAAAATTAGTCCTCACGACTAATACCAGTGTACAAGTGTGAAAAAGGAAAAAAAAATTTAAATTCACTTTTTAATTAGCTTTCACACCTGTGTAGGATCCCTGGACCTCAAAGTGAGACTCAAAGAGGCTATTTTAAGTTCGTAAGCCCACATGGATGCTTCACAAACTGAGATCACACAAGATAAAGCTTTAATGTGCCCTTATGAACACATTATAAAACAGAGTTCTTCCCAGTTGTCTTGTGAGTAATATGGGGTGGTAGACTGTATGCAAAATATTCATGGAGTCTTAGGAACTGCACTGATCCCAGGTCTGTCCCATGTATGAAGAGGGATGTAACTCTGTGGGTCTAAGTCACTGTTCTCTACGAAGGCACTAGAAACTGCGCTGAGAGGTTTGTTGATCACCAAAATCTAAACATCCGGAAACTAAAGTGTGTACCACTTAACCCTGTTCAGGTGCACCCATTGTACGTAATCCTCTCCTCTCTCTTTCTGCTATTACAGAAGTGGCATTGGAGACACTGTTGGGTCGCTCTGTCAATGCCACGATCGCCTAAGAGAAAAGGCTGCACAGTGGCCGCAATTCGGGGGGGGTGGAAGCACTTGATAATGACACTGGATCAATCACAGCTCCGCTTGTGTTCAGTTGGTGCTCAGTAGCAGGAAGCATAGGCTCGGTGTAAAAGTAACGGATCGGGAGGGGAAAGCCAAAAAAAAAGAAAAAAGAAAGGCAAGCAATAAAAGAAAGCTTGAGAAAACATGTGGCTAAAAACAAGCTAATTGGATTAAGTGTGGGAGTTCTGGTTGGCTGGCTGGCTGGTGACTGAACGCTGTGTTCAAAGTGTTTCAAGCCAGGTTTCCAATGACTACAAATGGATAACCCCCACCTTGAAATATTATTCTTATATACAAACACTTCATATGTCTCAAAAAGACATGCTAGCCTCCATTTTTGAGTCACACATTTTCCCAGCGGTATCAAAAAAGACCCTGCCAAAGACCATTTCTTCCTCTATATATCATACGCCATTTAACACTGACTCAAACAATAAAAGGAATACCCAGTCGCTAGTAGGCGTGAACCATATACAGGTCTGAACACACAGCTAACCTCTGCAACACGAAGGTGGTCAAAATGCTTCATAGAATCATGATTTACTCCATGCAGATGTTTACGAACGTGATTCAATGCATATTTGCCTGCCTGCATGTCACGTACTGTACTTTGATAAAATCTATATTTGGATACATCATGTTTAGTATATTCGCAAAGGAGATCAAATGGCACTAACACAGACACACACGCACACACTTCTGCTCAGTCTGAGTGGTATAACTCTCTGGTACATTCCTTCTGCTTTTCTATATTGCTTCCTCTCTCCTTCCCTCTTCTCGGAGTTCTCACATCCCTCGGTTCACACCTTCTTTCAGTGGTTATGGGGGGATGCGGTGTCTTTGCCATGTTGAGTGTGTGTGCAGATAAGAAGAGGTCACAGTGTGACAGGGGGGCTGGCGGGTGTGGAGATGAGGGGCGTGTCAGCAGTCTTGGTGACAGGTAGCCATAAGAAGGTGCCACCAGAGTGACAGCCATCGTGGTGGAAGTAGGTGCCCACAACGACAGTCACCTTAGCAAATGTCACCACAGGGGATGGTCACACTTGCCAGGGTGACAAGGAGTGGCCGTAGCGACCGTCGCAGCCAGGCCGCGGGCCCCTCGTTAGACAAACGAGTTCATGGCGTTGACGGGCGACGGGGCCTCCGAACTCTCGTTGCCTTCGTGCGTGTCTTTCTCTTTCTTGCCGCTGTACTGGCCGATGAAGGAGCCGTCCTCGTTGAACTGTCCGTCCCCGCCCTCCCCGTAGTCCACCAGGCTGTCGTCACTCTCGTCGCGGCGCACCGTCCCGTTGGACGGCGTCCGGCTGCCCTTCAGCGGCTTGTGGTCCTCTGTGTCACTACAAAAGGGCCGGAAAAAGGTCGGGAGGAATGTTACTGAGAAACTAATCAAGGCAGTTTGTTCAACTTGTTTTCCGCAGCGGTCAATAACCCTGTTGTCACCCAGGACCGGCTTTTATCCGAGCATCGAGTATGAGTAATCTGGTTTTTCCACTGCACAAATACCACATGTACTGTATGTGACAGAATACATTGCTGTTGTGTACACAATTTGGTTCAAATGTGCTAGTAGAGCAACATGAAGTTGACAAACATATACACAACTCTTCATTATACAAGGGGTTATTATAATGCACAGTAACAACGGGATGCCTGAAACATGACACTGTGTACTTGTACAGTGGAGCAGCTCAGCTACATCTACAGTATTTCATAGAGTTATATACAGTGTTAGTGCCGTTTTACATCTGGATGCTGCTTTAGGGTTGGTGACCACTGCTAAAGATTTTGAAAATGCGTGCGGTTCAGTCTCTTGCACTACTTTACCTTTTATATACAATTTCTGTAATGAAATCAACCAGTATGCTTTCAGTTTACATGCATAATCAAAAATGCACTCGTACTTTTCAGTCTTTTTCCATAAATAAAGTCTAAAAATGTCCGGTTCCAGTTAAGACTAGGCAAGCTCAATGCATTTGTATTTTCGAAATAAAATGAAGGAAGCTGAAGAACTAGAAGCAGTCATTTTTTCGTATTAATGTTGGAACTGTGGTTATGGTTTGGACATGTCAGTGAGTATGACGACATAGTCAACCAGGTCAGTTGATGTGCTTTCTCCTTGCTTTTAGTTTATTAACTCAAGTCAGAGACATAGCTTGCGGGTGTTTTATAGAATTGCATGCTGGTTTTAGCGACATCTCGTCTTACCTCTCCATAGACCTAAACCCATCAAAAAAACAAAGATAAGAATGGAAGGACACATGAAAAGCAATTCATGGACCGGAATGAGCGTCTATTTTTGTATGCACAGAAAAGACAGAAGCATGCGTATGGAAACATTTAAAGCTTGTTCCTGAGGAGCCATAAGTCATAAAAAAAACTCAATATTCCAAGAACAACATGAAAATGTTATGATTAAAAAACGAAAAACTACGTCACCATAATGGAATTTGTAATAAACTTGTTTTAAGAATGGTTAGCAATACAACTGACTTGTTAAAATGGACATTTGTACAAAGCTTGTGTTGGTTAATGTCAGTGTGAGTTGGTCATAAGAATCAAGAGAAGTGCTGATGTATGCCTTGCCTCTATGGAGTGTTTGGTAATGGAGTCTGGTGGAGAGAGTTTCTCTGCAGCCTGGTAAAATGTTCTACATACAAACAGTCAATTTAGGACACAACGAATCCAAAACCAATCTTTGTATGCTGTGGTCCTATTTTAGCCGGATGCGAGTCTTCTTATCCATCTCTCACCTGTACTCTCCAAATGTCCCATCATCCTCCTTCATAGGCTGGATCTCTGGGTCTTGGTGAGCATCTTCTTTCTCTTTCACTGTCAGATTACACACATTAAATTAAAAAAAATGTATTCACAAATTTCCATCCATCCATGTGAACAAGCTTGAAATGACTTTGTGTGCATTACCTGGATATTTTCCACCCTTGTTCCTCTTGATAAAGCACACTATGAGAAGGACCAAGATGAGGAGAGCGATGGCACACATCAGGCCAATGAACCAGCCCTGGGTGGCAATGTCTACCTGTCGGCTGGGTACAGCTAGACACACAGAAAGGAGGGAAAGATGGAGACAAGCAGTGAGCATAACCGTCAGTCCACATCCAGGCAGCTAAAATGGTGGAAACAGTTTTCTTCATGGTGAGCAACACTGAGATTAAAAGAGGCTGTAAACACAGAAATTAAATTATAAAATGGGTTAATATGCAATGGTCGTTAAGGCACTGTGAACTGGACAAAAAGAAAAAAAAACAGTAAAATAATGAACCTCTTAGTGATGATTTTAAGTGACATGCATCAGACCGACTTGATGGCAACTCCAGACATGCTTTGTACACTAACTAGCAAACTAACTACCGTACATTCATGTCTGAGTACAGCATCGTACCTCTGATAATGAGAGTGCTGGAACAGAAAGGCGATGGGAAAATGAGACAAAAAGATGAACCACATAGACGTCTATCCTGAGGCATGCCGCCTCACCTGGCACCGCAACCAACACTTCGTCTGTGCTGTGGACCGTCGGGTCAGCCGGGTCTCTAGCTACCACACGCACCTTATAGGACGTCCCCGGCTTTAAACCTTTTATCATATGCCAGTGTGAACCGTTTACCAACTCCTTTATCCAGTCCTCTTTACCTGGAAGTAGTGGAGCGGATGGAGAGGAATTAGATTCAGGGAGCCTTTGGGGAGAATAATTATTTGAATGATGGTATTTCAGCATCCGTTTTGATGGTTACATTATTACGGATCAGATTGATCGAGTTATAAACAGCCAATCGATACATGCACTGGTGTTTTGGGATGACAGTGAATACAAAGTGAAGCCTTACTGTTTTCTACAATATACTCCACATATACATTCTTATGGTGTCCAAAGTAATCCCAACTGATCACTGCACCGTCCTCCGACATGGACGTGTTAACTTTGCCAAATGCAGGGCCGACAGGCGGCACTGAGCACACAAGAGAGGGAAAAAAACAATAGCTTTAATTCCAAAAATGTACCAAATTTGACAAAGTCCTGTAAAATAAAACCTTTTTTAAATACTGCTATATGGAGCAGTATTTAAGTACAAGTCCTGTTAAGTACAGGAGCGAGTATCAATACAATAACAAAGAAATAAACATCATACATTACACCTGTGTTTAGGATAAAGCTGGTGGATACAAATCTACCAAACTAGGTGAAAACCTGCTCCTGTAACCAAAGTTCTTCGAGCAGCCAAATTTAAGAATAAAAAGGAACTCCACGTCTGTTTTTAACAGTTTGAGGATTAGATTTTAAATGCCATACACCTGACCAGAGCCTCAATTTACGAGCATTTGGTTGTTTTCTATCACATGACAAAAGAACTTTGAAAGCAGTGTCAGATCCTGCAACAGCATAGAAACAGATTTGTTATAAAAAATGGCCATCTCAGCAAGAACTTCTTTCTTCTAAAACAAGTGTTAGGTGAGAGAAATCCAACAGGAATCAACCTCTTAACTTGTCAAAATGTATCAATTCTTTTTTCCCTATTAATAAAACTAGCGTGTTTTTTTTTTTGCATAGATGGACCATTTTTTGCAGGGCAGAAAATACGTGAAGATATTTTGGGAGGTAGACGGGGATACAGGGAGTGCTTGTACCCTTGTGAAACGGGGGATGCGGAGACTGAGTGATGGGGGAGGTTGGGTGAGGGGGCTCTGTAGGGCCTGAAAGAACATGGAAAATAGTGAGACAACACACATACAGTACACAACACAGTAGACAGCATACAAGTGAACTGCAGAGCCGGTGTGTTTTCGCAGAGAAAGTTGCTCCTGACATGCTGATTCAAAACATGATGCAACACCTCTTAATCCTGAGATTCAGAGAGAGCTTATAAGCGCCTTGTTCAGTATGCGAACAAAATGAACTCTGAATCACAGCACTGCAGCATGCATATTATCTAAATCAAATCCATAGACACAATCCAACGGTTTATAGCATCAGCAGATAACGTTTGCGTTAGTGCTGGACTGAAACATTCACAAGCATCATGCGAGAGACTTCTAATGATGTTAACATGTTCATCGAAGATACGAGAAGTAAAGACTACAAGCACGACCAATTCTAAAAATCCAGTGTTTTAAAGCTACTACGAGGAACTTTGATTTTGTGTTGATTTTGGCGGTTCCTGTGTACAAACGGAGTAGTGTTTCTGAGCACCAGAGTCCCGTTAGAAAACCTCTCATTTTAATGCAGTACGGTGGTACAGTCTGCCCCGCGCAGTCCTGTTTCTGGTTCTCCCGATTCCTGGTCAGACTGCAGGATTTTGCACGTGATCGGACGCAAATAACTATTCAGAAAAAGGCCAATCTTCTCGTTGATGGTCTGGTTTACCTATATGTAGGTCATAACCAGTTAAAAGTTCCTCACAGTAACTTTAACTTATGTTGCAGTACAACTTGTTCTCTCAGAACTGGACACAAGCATGGTTTGTTTTGCAGATGCCACGGACGTCTGTCACATTTACAGTAAATCCTAATTATTCACTGTCACATTTTTTAGACATGCTACCTTAGTAACATGCAGGGATAATCGATCTAAAGACAAAATCTATGCTAAGCTTTTTTTTCCGTATCTAGTGGTACGGATAACATGCAGGTGTTTCCAGTGGCAAACTTGGGTTACCTTTGCCCATCTCTACAGTGGGCTGAGTACGGGCTTCAGAGAGAAGAAAGGAGAGAAAGAGATAGAAGGGGTATAAGGTGTGGAATGCATTAACCTCATGGTTGTACGTTTAAGCTCACAGGAATCCTTAATATCTGTCAGAGCACTGTGATTCTGACCCAGGCACTTAAATCCCACTGATATAGGACTTCAACCTTTTCCTCCAACTGTGCTTGAAACGTATTACGGATGGAGCTAAATGCCTAAAATAACTTACTTGTGTCCATGACTGTGAAGGCCTCCTCTGTGATGATGGGGCCGGAGCCCTTGATCGTCTTTGCACTTAAGTAAAACTTGTAGAGCATGCTGGAGTTCAGGTTGCCCAGGGTAATGGTGGTCTCGTTGGCTAGCAAGGCCATGATCTTAACTGGCCCCAGTTCATTGGTGGTGTTGACTGCAGAGATGGTGTTTTTGAAAGGAGAAGAGGTTAAAGTAAAGGTTTGTCCTTTACACAGATGCCTCATAATACTGTGTGTGTTACAACAGGAAGTGTGTCAGGCAGCTGGTGAGCCTACCTGGTTGGTATTTCAGTGTGTACCCAGCGAGCCGGCCATTGTTGTTCCTTGGTGGGCCCCATTCCAGAGTGAGAGTGTCTAAACTAGTGTTTACAGCATTCAGAAAAGAAGGAGGCCCTGGGACTGAAAACAAAAGGAGAACCACAGTCAGAATCTGAATGTTGCACAGGACCGATAATGACACTCAGCATTTATATATAAGATGGTGGCTGTGCAGAAAATAAAACATCTTCTACATGTATGATGCTTTAGGCCTGCAGAAAACATCAGACATACACACCTCCCTCAGGTGTATCAAATTTCTTGCTGGGGCTGGGAGGCCCTTCTCCTTTGTTATTAAGGACTCTGATGGTGAGGTTGTAGCGGCTGTAAGGCTGGAGGCCTGGCAGGCGTCCCTCGCTTCGATTCCCACTGAACGTCAAAACTTGCTCCTGCTGCTCCGTCTCCTCCTCTGTGTCATGCAAGCCGCGCTCCCGTCGGTAGTATACCTTGAGGAAACGCACCAGAGTTAATTCCTATATCAGCATGATGGGCACTATAGTGCTTTTATTTTCTCATTGTTTTCCTCATCAATTCAGGAAGGCAGAACAAAAGTGGAAAAAAGGATGAATTCGGACTCCCTTGCCTCTCTATAACATCTAATGTACTACACAATTAAAGAATAAAGGAACACATATCACAATCCCAAAGTTCTCATTAAAACCATAAACTTTGATCTGTCCCATAGCCAGCCCGTTGATCCAACATCAGTCAGACTTCATCCCTACTTGGTTTTTAAAAGCTGTATTTCAGACTGTTAAGTTTTTTAAAGCCTTCTACGGCCTGGCTCCTTCCTACATCTGCCACCGGCTGACTCCCTATGAGCCTGACTGCTGCCTGGGATCTTCTGGCAGGGCCCTATTAACAGTCCCAAATTCATTGTGAAGCACTTTGTAACTTTGTTAAAAAAAAATGCTCTATAAATAAATACATTTATTTGCATGCTTTACAACCTGTTGTATCAACCTTCAGGTTAGGGTTCGGTGATCAGATAAGCTCAAGAGCCTCATAAAAAAAAAAATGGATTCCAGGTCCTGAATGTATTTTATAGCATGACTCTTTTCCTGGTACTTCTCTATTAGTTGTTTTTGTCACTTAGCATGTAAAAGTGACACAATGATGTCCAAATATATAGAAATACTGATAAAACACCCTTCAAAATGGAAATTTGAAAAATTAAAAGCACATGGTGAACAAATACAGTGCAGATACATTTATAAAGGTCTGAGCTGTACATTTTGGGATACATTTGATGTGCTTTCACTCTGATTATTGTCTTCACAGTGCACCAGTAATGAGGGACTACTGGAGAAGAACTTTCAGTGTGGTTGTTAGATTGTGCTGCTCATGTGTGACAGGGACCAGTTTGTCTGAAATGGTTTCCCCTCGCATTTTAGGTCAGATTTAGTACATCTGTCCTAAAAGGTAATACTGCTTTATGAAACACCCCCTCCGCATGTTAAAACATTTGGCAAGATGTTAAGGCACTTGCATGTTTTAGGATGCAAAAAGCTACACACTAAATGTGCAAGAAACCTCAGCTAAGACCAACTAAAGAACTGAGGAGTCTTTGCCACCCCGACCACCACATTTCAACACACATCTTTCAGCACAGATTTTACAGACAAAAGGAAAGCCCTGCATATATATATATATATATATATATACATATATATACATATATATACATATATATACATATATATACATATATACACATATATATATACATATATATATACACATATATATATACATATATATATACATATATATATATACATATATATATACATATATATATATACATATATATATACACATATATATATACATATATATATATATATATA